ATCTGAAGCTCTTCCCACACTTCCCACACGTGTCGGGCTTCTCCCCAGTGTGGGGCCTCTGGTGCTGGATCAGGTTGCATTTTCTCCTGAAGCTCTTCCCACACTCCCCGCACGTGTGGGGCTTCTCCCCATCACGGAGCTGCTCACGGAGCACCAGCTCCAAGTCCCACTGTTCCCGGTGTTTGGGGTCCCAAATTCCCCTAAACTCCCCCAAGTTTTGGGGTCCCAGTGTCCATTTTTGGGGGTGCCCGTGCCCGTTTTTGGGGTGCCCCGTGCCCATTTTTGTGGTCCCTCCATTCCCATTTTTTTGGGTCCCAAGTTCCCCCAAGTTCTCACAAATTTCGGGCTCTCTGTGCCCATTTTTGGGCTGCCTGTGTCCATTTTTGGGCTCCGTCCATTCCCGAATTTGGGGTCCCAAATTCCCCCAATTTTCGGGATCCTAGTGCCCATTTTTGGGGTGTCCCGTGCCCGTTTTTGGGGTGTCCCATGCCCGTTTTTGGGGTGTCCCGTACCCTGCTCCAGCGCACGCCCCAGCGCGACCCGCCCGGTTCTGCCGGTGGCTCCGAAGATCGCGATCTTCATCCCCGGTGCCGTGAATCGAACCGAACCGGACTGAACCGCACCGAACCGAACCGGACGAAATCGAACCGGACCGAACCGAACCGGACTGAATCGAACCGAACCGGACCGAAGCGAACCGATCCGGACTGAATCGAACGGAACCGAACCGAACCGGATCGAACCAGGAACGGGATCAAGATCGGGATCCGGGATCGGGATTTGGGATCGGGACCGAGACTCGAACCGGAACCGCGATCGGGACCGGATCCGAGACTGAAACCGGGATTCGAGATCGGGATCGGGATCGGCACCGGGAGCTCCGCGATGGCTCCGAGGAGTTTTGGGAGGGAACTGGGCGGGAACTGGGAGGAACTGGGAGGGACTGGGAGGAACTGGGAGGGACTGGGAGGAACTGGGAGGGACTGGTGGTTCGCTCGGTTCCGGTGCCGCCGCCCCTGTCGGGATGGTCCCGGTCCATATTTGATCCCAGTCCATATTTGAACCCAGGCCGTATTTCAGCCCCGTCTAAATAATCTCAGTCCATTTTATCCCAGTCTATACAAACCCAGTCAATATTAGATCCCAGTCCATAGTATATCTAAGCCCATATTTGATCTTAGTCAATATTTGATCCCAATCTATTTGATCTCAGTCCATATTTCATCCCAGTCCATAAGATCCCAGGCCATAATTGATCCCAGTCCATATTTCATCCCAGTCCATATTTGATCCCAGTCCATAAGATCCCAGGCCATATTTGATCCCAATCCATGATTGACCCCAGTCCATTTTTTATCCCAATTCATATTTGATCCCAGACCATATTTGAGCCCAGTCCATATTTGATCCAAATCTATTTAATCCCACTCCCTAATTGATCCCACTCCATATTTGATTCCAAACCTTATTTAATCCAAGTCCATATTTGATCCCAATCTATTTGATCCCAGACCACATTTGATCCCAGTCCATATTTAATTCCAGTCCCTAATTGATCTCACTCCATATTTAATCCCAGTCATTATCGTCCTGCACACATTCCAAAAGTCTGGAATTCCAGCTCCCAACCTTGAAGGCAAATGGAGCAAAATCCTACAGAGACATTTCCCTGCCAGCCCTCAGGACTGCAGCTCCTGGGACTGGGAATGAAAATATTAACCAGGAAATATAATAATAAAAAATCAGGGGAGGGTCGGTGGGGACAGAGGGGTCAATGAAATCAGGCAATGGGTCAATTAAATCAGGGGAGGGCTCAATTAAATCAGGTAAGGGGTCAATTAAGTCAGGGCAGCGTCTCTGGTGGTCCCAGGGTCAAGGGAGACACTGAGAGAGAAACAGAGCAGGCAAAGAGAGGCAGGAGAGAAAAGGGGACACGAACACAATGAGCTGAGCAGGCGGCACTGTGCAAACAGAACTGCAACGGACTGAACATGAACGGGAGAGAAATCTGTAACTCTGAGAGTTTTATTTGCTATCAAATACACCCCACACGCCCAGCCCCACACAATCCCCACCGCACCGCTCTAATTGAGATCCCACTACTGTCAATCACAGGTTGGCTGTAGAATCGAGGATAATTTGTACGGCATGGAGTTTTTCTCAGGAGGGATTGAGCATTCTGGGGCAAGCCTGAGCTGTTTTCACTGGGATTTGAGTCGTTTTGAGGTGACAGATTCATCTCTCTTGGCTTCTGGACTGCAAAGAGATCGAGAAGAGTAAAAAATTAGGGTGAAATTAAATGGAGAAGCAGCCAGGTGTGTTCCCAGCATGGATCACAGGGAATGTGAGCGACCAGGGCTGTGCCCAAAGTGCCTCCTCCGGTGGGGGATGGAGCTGGAGCAGCGCACGAAGCTCTGCCCGCACTCGGGGCACTCGCAGGGCTTCCCTTACCGGTGCCGCCGTTGGTGTTGGGTCAAGTGAGAGCTCCTGGAGAAACTCTTCCCACACTGGGGACACTCGTAGGGCCTCTCCCCAGTGTGGATGCGCCGGTGGGTGAGGAGGATGGAGTGGTACTTGAATCCCTTCCCGCAGTCGGGGCAGCGGAAGGGCCTCTCCTCTGAGTGAATCCGATAGTGCTGGAGGAGATGAGAGCTGGTCCGAAACCTCTTCCTGCATTTATCACACTCGTAGGGCCTCTCCCCTGTGTGGATGAGCCGGTGGGTGACGAGACTGGAGTTGTGCTTGAATCCTTTCCCACAGTCGGGGCATTGGAAGGGCCTCTCCTCTCTGTGAAACCAATAGTGCTTGAGGAGACCAAAACTGCACTGAAACGTCTTCCCACACTTGGAACACTTGTAGGGCCTCTCCCCAGTGTGAGTCTTCTGGTGCCTGATCAGGTTGGAGTTCCTGCTGAAGCTCTTCCCACACTCCCCACACTCGTAGGGCCTCTCCCCAGTGTGGGTCCTCTGGTGTTCGATCAGGTCGCTGTTCCGCCTGAAGCTCTTCCCACACTCCCCGCACGTGTGGGGCTTCTCCCCATCACGGAGCTGCTCACGGAGCACCAGCTCCGAGCTCTGGCTCCATCTCCGGCCGCCTTCCCGGCCCACGCCGCCTCTTTCCCCCTCACATCCCCGCCAGCTGCCTTTGCAGCCCCTCCTCGTGCGGCATCTCCGCGCCTTTTCCTCCCCGTTGCCTTCCTGCGCCGTGGAGCCGCTCAAAACGGCCTCTTCCACCAGCTCCTGCCGCGGGCATTTCTCCTCCCTGCTCTCCATGCTCAGCTCCGGCTCTGGGGGAGGAAGGACAAGGACACCATGTGATTTGCCTCCGTGCCACAGCCGAGGGCAACGAGATCCCCCCAGGGCGGCCCCGGCAGGACGGCACCGCCACCCCCCGATGTCCCCCCGAGGGGCCTTTTCCGCTCAGCCTTGGACTTCTTCATTCTCCAAACATCCCCCCAGAAACCCAACCCAGGGATCCCCCGGGATATCAGGGCCGGGCTCCCCCTCCCAGCTCACCGGCGCGATGCGGGGTCGATGATCCCACAGGTGGGGGCTGCGAATTCAGGCACGGTCGACCGCGTGGATCCGTCCGCTCAGCCTTGATCCGCCTTTGTCCCTCCTCTTCCTTTTCCTCCCGCTCCTCCTCCTCCTTTCTCCCTCCCGCTCCTCAGCGTTATCTGCGCCTTCTTCTCCTCTTCCATCCCTTCTCCTCCTTCTCCTCCCTAACCCCACCTTCTTCTCCTCCTTCCATCGCTGCTCACTCTCCGCCTTCATCCCTCCCCTTCCATCTCCCCTAGCCCTGCTCCTCTCCCCAAACCGGCTGGAACCGTGAGGGGAAAGGGGGCAGGGAAAGGGCGGAACCGTGAGGGGAAAGGGGCGGGCTCAGGCCAAGGGCGGCAACTGTGAGGGGACACTCTGGGAGGCGGCACTCTGCAAACAGAACTGCAACCGACTGAACATGAAGGGGAAAGAAAGTTGTAAGTCTCCGAATTTCATTTCCTGTCAAATACATCATGCTCAGCCAGCCCATAACAATCCACCTCCGTGAGTTGGAGCAGCGCACGAAGCTCTTCCCGCACTCGGGGCACTTGCACGGCTTCACTTCGTGGTGCTTCCGTTCGTGTCGGGTCAAGTGAGAGCTGCTGGAGAAGCTCTTCCCACACTGGGGACACTCGTAGGGCCTCTCCCCAGTGTGGATGCGCCGGTGGGTGACGAGGGAGGAGCTGTGTTGAATCCCTTCCCACAGTCGGGGCAGCGGAAGGGCCTCTCCTCTGAGTGAATCCGAAAGTGCAGGAGGAGATGAGAGCAGGTCCGAAACCTCTTCCTGCATTTATCACACTCGTAGGGCCTCTCCCCTGTGTGGATCTTTTGGTGCGTGATCAGATTGTTGCGCTGGCTGAAGCTCTTCCCACACTCCCCACACTCGTAGGGCCTCTCCCCAGTGTGCATTCTCTGGTGCCTGATCAGTTCGCATTTCCACCTGAAGCTCTTCCCACACTCCCCGCACGTGTGGGGCTTCTCCCCATCACGGAGCTGCTCACGGAGCACCAGCTCCGAGCTCTGGCTCCATCTCCGGCCGCCTTCCCGGCCCACGCCGCCTCTTTCCCCCTCACATCCCCGCCAGCTGCCTTTGCAGCCCCTCCTCGTGCGGCATCTCCGCGCCTTTTCCTCCCCGTTGCCTTCCTGCGCCGTGGAGCCGCTCAAAACGGCCTCTTCCACCAGCTCCTGCCGCGGGCATTTCTCCTCCCTGCTCTCCATGCTCAGCTCCTGCTCTGGGCGAGGAAGGACAAGGACACCATGCGATTTGCCTCCGTGCCACAGCCGAGGGCAACGACATCCCCCCGGGGCGGCCCCGGCAGGACGGCACCGCCACCCCCCGATGTCCCCCCGAGGGGCCTTTTCCGCTCAGCCTTGGACTTCTTCATTCTCCAAACATCCCCCCAAAAACCCAACCCAGGGACCCCCCGGGATATCAGGGCCGGGCTCCCCCTCCCTGCTCACCGGCGCGATGCGGGGAGCGATGATCCCACAGGTGGGGGCTGCCAATTCAGGCAGGGTCGACCGCGCGGATCCGTCTGCTCAGCGTTAATCAGCGTTTGTCCCTCCTCTTCCTCTTCCTCCCGCTCCTCCTCTTCCTTCAAACCACCCCCTGCTCCTCCCCCGACCCCGCCTCCTCCTCTCCTTTCATCCCTGCCCTTCCCTCCCTCCTCCTCCTCCCCCAGCAGCAGCCGCGCTCTCCGTGCCCCGTTCCCGCAGCCCTCGCAGCCCGTGGCAGGAGCGCGGATGGAGCCGGGACAGGTCGGGATGGGCAGCGCGGGGCTCTCGGCTGCTCCCAGCCGCTGCGGGAGGGGGGAACCCGGCCCGGGCCAAAGGAGAGTCAAACTGGGCGAACTGGGGGCTGCCCATCCAAACTGGGCCTTGCTGGGGACCCTGCCTGGCCACTGCCAGCCCTTGGGGCTCCTCTCGGCACATCCGCCACGGGGGAACGCACACAGGGCTGGGGCATCCCAGCAGTGGCAGCACTGCCAGGGACTGGGCTGCGCTGGGATGGTACGGGGAGTGACTGGGGCTGTACTGGTTCTGTACTGACATCATACTGGGGTCGCACTGGCAGTGACTGGGGCTGTACTGGTTCTGTACTGACACTGGGATTGTAGTGAGTTTGTACTGACATCATTCTGAGATCACACTGCCTTCCCAGGGCGGATTCCGATCGCTCTCATGGACACTGCGATCATACTGGGGTCCCCCGGGGTCCTCCTCCATGGTGAGCGGCTCGATGGGGCGGGGGGCGATGATCCCACAGGTGGGGGCTGCAAATTCAGGCAGGACTCGGCCGTTCGCCGCCATCAGCTCAGCATCGATCCGTCTGTCTCCCTCCTCTTCCTCCCCCTCCTCCTCTTCCATCCCCCCTCCCGCTCCTCAGCGTTATCTCCGCCTCCTTCTCCTCTTCTATCCTGCCCTTTCCAATCCTTCTCCTCCTGCTCCCTAACCCCACCTCCTTCGCCTCCTTCCATCGCTGCTCTCTCTCCGCCTTCAGCCCTCCTCCTCTCCCCTAGCTCTGCTCCTCTCCCCTAACCGGCTGGAACCGTGAGGGGAAAGGGGGCGGGGAAAGGGCGGAACCGTGAGGGGAAAGGGGCGGGCTCAGGCCAAGGGCGGCAACTGTGAGGGGACACTCTGGGAGGCGGCACTCTGCAAACAGAACTGCAACGGACTGAACATGAACGGGAGAGAAATCAGTAAGTCTGAAAGTTTTATTTGCTGTCAAATACATCTCACACAGCCAGCCCGACACACTCCCCACCCCAGTCTCCAATTTGGGATCGCACTTCTCCGAATCTTCTTCCACCTCTATCTCGCTCTGGTGGGTGTGGAATGATGAGAGTCTGTTGTGGGATTGAGGTTTTTTGAGGTGGGTTTGCGCACTTTTAGGGTAAGACTGAGCTTTTTTCACTGGGATCTCAGTGGTTTTGATGTGACAGATGTAACTAAATCGGCTTTTGGAATGCAAAGAGATTGACAAGTGAAAGAAACTAAGAAGAAACCAAAAGTAGAAGCAGGCAGGTATGTTCCCAGCATCGATCACAGGGAAGGTGAGCAACCGGGGCTGTGCCCAAAGTGCCTCCTCCAGTGGGGGATGGAGCTGGAGCAGCGCACGAAGCTCTGCCCGCACTCGGGGCTCTCATAGGGCTTCACTCACCGGTGCCGCCGTTGGTGTCGGGTCAAGTTAGAGCTGCTGGAGAAGCTCTTCCCACACTGGGGACACTCGTAGGGCCTCTCCCTGGTGTGGATGCGCCGGTGTCTGACGAGGGTGGAGTTGTACTTGAATCCCTTACCACAGTCGGGGCAGCGGAAGGGCCTCTCCTCTGAGTGAATCCGATAGTGCACGAGGAGATCGCGGCTGGTCCGAAACCTCTTTCTGCATTTATCACACTCGTAGGGCCTCTCCCCAGTGTGGATGCGCCGGTGGGTGACGAGGGTGCAGTTGTGCTTGAATCCCTTCCCGCAGTCGGGGCATTGGAAGGGCCTCTCCTCTCTGTGAATCCAATAGTGCTTAAAGAGATCAGAGCTGCTCTGAAACGCCTTCCCACACTTGGAACACTTGTAGGGCCTCTCCCCAGTGTGAGTCTTCTGGTGTCTGATCAGGTGGGAGCTGATGCTGAAGCTCTTCCCACACTCCCCACACTCATAGGGCCTCTCCCCAGTGTGGGTCCTCTGGTGCCTGATCAGTTCGCATTTCCACCTGAAGCTCTTCCCACACTCCCCGCACGTGTGGGGCTTCTCCCCATCACGGAGCTGCTCACGGAGCACCAGCTCCGAGCTCTGGCTCCATCTCCGGCCGCCTTCCCGGCCCACGCCGCCTCTTTCCCCCTCACATCCCCGCCAGCTGCCTTTGCAGCCCCTCCTCGTGCGGCATCTCCGCGCCTTTTCCTCCCCGTTGCCTTCCTGCGCCGTGGAGCCGCTCAAAACGGCCTCTTCCACCAGCTCCTGCCGCGGGCATTTCTCCTCCCTGCTCTCCATGCTCAGCTCCTGCTCTGGGCGAGGAAGGACAAGGACACCATGCGATTTGCCTCCGTGCCACAGCCGAGGGCAACGAGATCCCCCCGGGGCGGCCCCGGCAGGACGGCACCGCCACCCCCCGATGTCCCCCGAGGGGCCTTTTCCGCTCAGCCTTGGACTTCTTCATTCTCCAAACATCCCCCCAGAAACCCAACCCAGGGGCTGCCGGGGATATCAGGGCCGGGCTCTCCGTCCCTGCTCACGTGCGCGATGCGGGGGGCGATGATCCCACAGGTGGGAGTGCGAATTCAGGCTGGTCGACCGCGTGGATCCGTCCGCTCAGCCTTGATCCGCCTTTGTCCCTCCTCTTCCTCTTCCTCCCGCTCCTCCTCTGCCATCCCCCCCTCCCGCTCCTCAGCGTTGTCTCCCCATCCTTCTCCTCGTCCATCCCGCCCCTTCCATCCCTTCTCCTCCTGCTCCCTAACCCCACCTCCTTCGACTCCTTCCATCGCTGCTCTCTCCGCCTTCATCCCTCCCCTTCCATCTCCACTACCCCTGTTCCTCTCCCCTAACCGGCTGGAACCGTGAGGGGAAAGGGGGCAGGGAAAGGGCGGAACCGTGAGGGGAAAGGGGGCAGGGAAAGGGCGGGAACCGTGAGGGGAAAGGGGGCAGGGAAATGGCGGAACCGTGAGGGGAAAGGGGGCAGGGAAATGGCGGAACCGTGAGGGCAAAGGGGCGGGCTCAGGCCAAGGGCGGCAACTGTGAGAGGACACTCTGGGAGGCGGCACTCTGCAAACAGAACTGCAACGGACTGAACATGAACGGGAAAGAAAGTTGCAAGTCTCAGAGTTTTATTTGCTGTCAAATACATGTTGCTCAGCCAGCCCATAACAATCCACATCCGTGAGGTTGAGCATCGCACGAAGCTCTGCCCGCACGCCGGGGCACTTGCAGGGCTTCCCTCACTGGTGCTTCGTTGTTATCAGGTCAAATTAGAGCTCTGTGAGAAGCTCTTCCCACACTGGGGACACTCGTAGGGCCTCTCCCCTGTGTGGATGCGCCGGTGGGTGACGAGGGTGGAGTTGTGCTGGAATCCCTTCCCACAGTCGGGGCAGCAGAACGGCCTCTCCTCTGAGTGAATCCAAAAGTGCAGGAGGAGATGAGAGCTGGTCCAACACCTCTTCCTGCATTTATCACACTCGTAGGGCCTCTCCCCTGTGTGGATGCGCTGGTGGGTGATCAGGTGGGACTTCTGCCTGAATCCCTTCCCACACTCAGGGCATTGGAAGGGTCTCACCTCTCTGGGAATCCAATAGTGCTTGAGGAGATAGATGCTGGTCAGAAACCTCTTCCTGCATTTGTCACACTCATAGGGTCTCTCCCCAGTGTGGGTCCTCTGCTGCACGATCAGTTCGGAGTTCCACCTGAAGCTCTTCCCACACTCCCCGCACGTGTGGGGCTTCTCCCCATCACGGAGCTGCTCACGGAGCACCAGCTCCAAGTCCCACTGTTCCCGGTTTTTGGGGTCCCAAATTCCCCCAAACTCCCCAAAGCTTTTTGGTCCCAGTGTCCATTTTTGGAGATCCCGTGCCCGTTTCGGGGGTGCCCCGTGCCCATTTCTGTGGTCCCTCCATTCCCATTTTTTCGGGTCCCAAGTTTCCCCAAGTTCACACACATTTTAGGTTCCCTGTGCCCATTTTTGGGGTCCCTCCATTCCCGAATTTGGGGTCCCAAATTGCCCCAATTTTCGGGATCCCAGTGCCCGTTTTTGGGGTGTCCCATGCCCGTTTTTGGGGTGTCCCGTACCCTGCTCCAGCGCCAGCCCCAGCGTGACCCGCCCGGTTCTACCGGTGGATCCGAACATTGCGATCTTCATCCCCGGTGCCGTGAACCGAACCGAACCGAACCGAACCGGATCGAAGCGGGAACGGGATCGAGACCGGGATCCGGGATCGGAATTTGGGATCAGGACCGAGACTCGAACCGGGACCGCGATCGGGACCGGAACCGAGACTGAAACCGGGATTCGAGATCGGGATCGGGATCGGCACCGGGAGCTCCGCGATGGCTCCGAGGAGTTTTGGGAGGGAACTGGGAGGAACGGGGAGGAACTGGAAGGGACTGGGAGGGACTGGGGGTAACTGGGAGGGACTGGGTGGGAAGTGGGAGGGACTGGGAGGGACTGGGAGAAACGGGGAGGGAACTGGGAGGGACTGGGTGGGAAGTGGGAGGAACTGGGAGGGACTGGGAGGGACTGGGCGGGGCGGGACGGCCTCGGTTCGCTCGGTTCCGGTGCCGCCGCCCCTGTCGGGATTGTCCCGGTCCATATTTGAGCCCAGTCCGTATTCGATCCCAGTCTATATAATCTCAGTCCAGTTTATCCCAGTCTGTACAGTCCGAGTCCATTCGATCCCAGTCCAGGTTTTATCCCAGTCCATATTTGTTCCCAATCTCTACTTAATCCCAGTCCATAGTTGATCCCAGTCCATATCTGATCCCACTCCACATTTGATCCAAGTCCATCTTTGATCTTAGTTTATATAATCTCAGTCCAGTTTATCCTAGTCAGGATTACCCCAGTCTATATTTGATCCCAATTCGTATTTCATCCCATTCCATATTTGTTCCCAATCCATATTTAATCCCAGTCCATATTTAATCCAGTCCCGATTTGATCCCAGCCCAGTTTATCCCAGTCCGTTGTTGATCTTAGTCCATATATGACTCCAGTCCATTTTTTATCCCAATTCATATTTCATCCCAGTCTATATAATCTCAGTCCAGTTTATCTCACTTTCTAGGATCCCAATTCCTATCTGATCCCAATCCATATCTGACTCCAGTCTATATAATCCCAGTCCAGTTTATCCCAGTCAGGATTATCCCAGTCTATATTTGATCCCAGTTCGTATTTGATCCCCATCCACAGTTGATCACAGTCTCTATTTGCTCCCACTCCATAGTTGATCCCAGTCCAGATTATCCCAGTCAGTATGGTCCCAATCCATAGGATTCCCAGTCCATATTTGATCCCAGTCCATATTTGACCCCGTCCAAATGATCCCAGTCCGTATTTGATCTGAATCCATATTTGACCCCAGTCCATTTTTTATCCCAATTCATATTTGATCCCAGACCATATTTGAGCCCAGTCCATATTTGATCCAAATCTATTTAATCCCACTCCCTAACTGATCCCAGTCCATATTTGATTCCAAACCATATTTAATCCAACTCCATATTTGATCCCAATCTTTCTGATCCCAGACCACATTTGATCCCAGTCCATATTTAATCCCAGTCCCTAATTGATCTCACTCCATATTTAACCCCAGTCATTATTGCCCAGCACACATTCCAAAAGTCTGGAATTCCAGCTCCCAACCTTGAAGGCAAATGGAGCAAAATCCTCCAGAGACATTTCCCTGCCAGCCCTCAGGACTTCAGCTCCTGGGACAGGGAATTAAAATATTAACCAGGAAATATAATAATAAAAAATCAGGGGAGGGTCGGTGGGGATAGAGGGGTCAATTAAATCAGGCAATGGGTCAATTAAATCAGGGGAGGCGTCAATTAAATCATGCAATGGGTCAATTAAATCAGGCAAGGGGTCAATTAAATCAGGGCAGGGGCCAATTAAATCAGGGCAGGGTCTCTGGTGGTCCCAGGGTCAAGGGAGACACTGAGAGAGAAACAGAGCAGGCAAAGAGAGGCAGGAGAGAAAAGGGGACACGAACACAATGAGCTGAGCAGGCGGCACTGTGCAAACAGAACTGCAACGGACTGAACATGAACGGGAGAGAAATCTGTAACTCTGAGAGATTTATTTGCTATCAAATACATCCCACACGCCCAGCCCCACACAATCCCCACCCCACCGCTCTAATTGAGATCCCACTACTGTCAATCACAGGCTGGCTGTAGAATCGAGGAAAATTTGTACGGCATGGAGTTTTTCTCAGGAGGGATTGAGCATTCTGGGGTAAGACTGAGCTGCTTTCACTGGGATTTGAGTCGTTTTGAGGTGACAGATTCATCTCTCTTGGCTTTTGGACTGCAAAGAGATCGAGAAGAGAAAAAAATTAGGGTGATATTAAATGGAGAAGCAGCCAGGTGTGTTCCCAGCATGGATCACAGGGAATGTGAGTGACCAGGGCTGTGCCCAAAGTGCCTCCTCCGGTGGGGGATGGAGCTGGAGCAGCGCACGAAGCTCTGCCCGCACTCGGGGCACTCGCAGGGCTTCCCTTACCGGTGCCTCCGCTGGTGTTGGGTCAAGTGAGAGCTCCTGGAGAAGCTCTTCCCACACTGGGGACACTCGTAGGGCCTCTCCCCAGTGTGGATGCGCCGGTGGGTGACGAGGATGGAGTTGTACTTGAATCCCTTCCCACAGTCGGGGCAGCAGAACGGCCTCTCCTCTGAGTGAATCCGATAGTGCAGGAGGAGATGAGAGCTGGTCTGAAACCTCTTCCTGCATTTATCACACTCGTACGGCCTCTCCCCTGTGTGGATGCGCCGGTGAATGATGAGGGTGGAGTTCTTCTTGTATCCCTTCCCACACTCAGGGCATTGGAAGGGCCTCTCCTCTGTGTGAGTCTGATAGTGCTCGATGAGATGGGACCTGCTCTGAAACGCCTTCCCACACTTGGAACACTTGTAGGGCCTCTCCCCAGTGTGGATCCTTTGGTGCCTGATCAGGTGGGAGCTGATGCTGAAGCTCTTCCCACACTCCCCACACTCGTAGGGCCTCTCCCCAGTGTGGCTCCTCTGGTGTTCGATCAGTCCGCAGTTCCACCTGAAGCTCTTCCCACACTCCCCGCACGTGTGGGGCTTCTCCCCATCACGGAGCTGCTCACGGAGCACCAGCTCCGAGCTCTGGCTCCATCTCCGGCCGCCTTCCCGGCCCAGGCCGCCTCTTTCCCCCTCACATCCCCGCCAGCTGCCTTTGCAGCCCCTCCTCGTGCGGCATCTCCGCGCCTTTTCCTCCCCGTTGCCTTCCTGCGCCGTGGAGCCGCTCAAAACGGCCTCTTCCACCAGCTCCTGCCGCGGGCATTTCTCCTCCCTGCTCTCCATGCTCAGCTCCTGCTCTGGGCGAGGAAGGACAAGGACACCATGCGATTTGCCTCCGTGCCACAGCCGAGGGCAACGAGATCCCCCCGGGGCGTCCCCGGCAGGACGGCACCGCCACCCCCCGATGTCCCCCCGAGGGGCCTTTTCCGCTCAGCCTTGGACTTCTTCATTCTCCAAACATCCCCCCAAAAACCCAACCCAGGGACACCCTGGGATATCAGAGCAGGGCTCCCCCTCCCTGCTCACCTGCGCGATGCGGGGGGCGATGATCCCACAGGTAGGGGCTGCGAATTCAGGCAGGGTCGACCGCGGGGATCCGTCCGCTCAGCCTTGATCCGCCTTTGTCCCTCCTCTTCCTCTTCCTCCCGCTCCGGCTCTTCCGTCCCTCCTCCCGCTCCTCAGCGTTATCTCCGCCTCCTTCTCCTCTTCCATCCCGCCCCTTCCATCCCTTCTCCTCCTCCTCCTCCCTAAACCCACCTTCTTCTTCTCCTCCCATCGCTGCTCACTCTCCGCCTTCATCCCGCCTCTTCCATCTCCGGTTGCCCTGCTCCTCTCCCCAAACCGGCTGGAACCGTGAGGGGAAAGGGGGCAGGGAAACGGCGGGAACCGTGAGGGCAAAGGGGCGGGCTCAGGCCAAGGGCCGCAACTGTGAGGGGACGCTCTGGGAGGCGGCACTCTGCAAACAGAACTGCAACGGACTGAACATGAACGGGAAAGAAAGTTGTAAGTCTCAGAGTTTTATTTGCTGTCAAATACATCATGCTCAGCCAGCCCATAACAATCCACATCCCTGAGGTTGAGCAGCGCACGAAGCTCTGCCCGCACTCCGGGGCACTTGCAGGGCTTCCCTCTCTGGTGCCTTCGTTGTTATCAGGTCAAATTAGAGCACTGTGAGAAGCTCTTCCCGCACTGGGGACACTCGTAGGGCCTCTCCGCTGTGCGGATGCGCCGGTGGGTGACGAGGGAGGAGTTGTGCTGGAATCCCTTCCCACAGTCGGGGCAGCGGAACGGCCTCTCCTCTGAGTGAATCCGAAAGTGCAGGAGGAGATGAGAGCTGGTCCGACACCTCTTCCTGCATTTGTCACACTCGAAGGGCCTCTCCCCTGTGTGGCTCCTCTGGTGCTTGTTCAGGGCGGAGCTCTGGCTGAAGCGCTTCCCAGACACAGAACACTTGAAAGGCTTTTGCCCAGTATGGATCCTCTGGTGCAGGATCAGGTGAGAGCTCTTAATGAAGCTCTTCCCACTTCCCCCACACTCGTAGGGCCGTTCCCTGGTGTGGATCGTATGCTGGTTGACCAGGTCCGATCTCCATCTGAAGCTCTTCCCACACTCCCCACACGTGTCGGGCTTCTCCTCAGTGTGGGTCCTATGTTGCTGGATCAGGTTGCATTTTCTCCTGAAGCTCTTCCCACACTCGCCACACTCATAGGGTCTCTCCCCATTGTGGGTCCTCTGCTGCACGATCAGTTCGGAGCTCCCCCTGAAGCTCTTCCCACACTCCCCGCACGTGTGGGGCTTCTCCCCATCACTAAGCTCCTCACGGAGCACCAGCTCCAAGTCCCACTGTTCCCGGTTTTTGGGGTCCCAAATTCCCCCAAACTCCCCCAAGTTTTGTGGTCCCAGTGTCCATTTTTGTGGATCCCGTGCCCGTTTTTGGGTTGCCCAGTGCCCATTTCTGTGGTCCCTCCATTCCCATTTTTTCGGGTCCCAAGTTCCCCCAAGTTCACACACATTTTAGGTTCCCTGTGCCCATTTTTGGGCTGCCTGTGTCCATTTTTGGGGAACCCTCCATTCCCGAATTTGGGGTCCCAAATTCCCCCAAATTTCGGGATCCCTGTGCCCGGTTTTGGGGTGTCCCATGCCCGTTTTTGGGGTGTCCCGTACCCTGCTCCAGCGCACGCCCCAGCGTGACCCGCCCGGTTCTACCGGTGGCTCCGAACATTGCGATCTTCATCCCCGGTGCCGTGAACCGAACCCAACCGAACCGAACCGGATCGAAGCGGGAACGGGATCGAGACCGGGATCCAGGATCGGGATTTGGGATCGGGACCGAGACTCGAACTGGGACCGCGATCGGGACCGGAACCGAGACTGAAACCGGGATTCGAGATCGGGATCGGGATCGGCACCGGGAGCTCCGCGATGGCTCCGAGGAGTTTTGGGAGGGAACTGGGAGGAACTGGGAGGGAACTGGGAGGAACTGGAAGGGACGGGGAGGGACTGGGGGTAATTGGGAGGGACTGGGAGGGACTGGGTGGGAAGTGGGAGGAACTGGGAGGGACTGGGAGAAACGGGGAGGGAACTGGGAGAGACTGGGAGGAACTGGGAGGGACTGGGAGGAACTGGGAGGGACTGGTGGTTCCCTCGGTTCCGGTGCAGCCGCCCCTGTCGGGATGGTCCCGGTCCATATTTGATCCCAGTCCATATTTGATCCCAGGCCGTATTTGAGCCCAGTCTAAATAATCTCAGTCAAGTTTATCCCAGTCTATACAATCCCAGTCAATATTAGATCCCAGTCCATAGTTTATCAAAGTCCATATTTGATCTTAGTCAATATTTGATCCCACTCCATATTTGATCCCAGTCCACATTTGACCCCACTCCATATTTAATCCCAGTCCCTAACTGATCCCACTCCACTAATCCCAGTCCTCATCGCCCTGCACACATTCCAAAAGTCTGGAATACCAGCTCACAGACAGGAAAAGATGTTCCCGACCTTGAAGGCAAATGGAGCAAAATCCTCCAGAGACATTTCCCTGCCAGCCCTCAGGATTTCAGCTCCTGGGAATTAAAATATTAACCAAGAAATGTAATAATAAATAATCAGGGGAGGGTCGGTGGGGAGAGAGGGGTAAATTAAATCAGGGGAGGGGTCAATTAAATCAGGGCAGGATCAATTAAATCAGGCAAGGGGTCAATTAAATCAGGGCAGGATGAATTAAATCAGGGGAGGGGTCAATTAAATCAGGGCAGGGGTCAATTAAATCAGGCAAGGGGTCAATTAAACTGGGGCAGAATCAATTAAATCAGGCAATGGGCCAATTAAATCAGGGCAGGGTCTCTGGTGGTCCCAGGGTCAAGGGAGACACTGAGAGAGAAACAGAGCAGGCAAAGAGAGGCAGGAGAGAAAAGGGGACACGAACACAATGAGCTGAGCAGGCGGCACTGTGCAAACAGAACTGCAATGGACTGAACACGAACGGGAGAGAAATCTGTAACTCTGAGAGTTTTATTTGCTATCAAATACATCCCACACGCCCAGCCCCACACAATCCCCACCCCACCGCTCTAATTGAGATCCCTGTACTGTCAATCACAGGCTGGCTGTAGAATCGAGGAAAATTCGTATGGCATGGAGTTTTTCTCAGGAGGGATTGAGCATTCTGGGGGAAGATTGAGCTGTTTTCACTGGGATTTGAGTCGTTTTCAGGTGACAGATTCATCTCTCTTGGCTTTTGGACTGCAAAGAGATCGAGAAGAGTAAAAAATTAGGGTGAAATTAAAAGGAGAAGCAGCCAGGTGTGTTCCCAGCATGGATCACAGGGAATGTGAGTGACCAGGGCTGTGCCCAAAGTGCCTCCTCCAGTGGGGGATGGAGCTGGAGCAGCGCACGAAGCTCTGCCCGCACTCGGGGCACTCGCAGGGCTTCCCTTACCAGTGCCTCTGTTGGTGTTGGGTCAAGTGAGAGCTCTGTGAGAAGCTCTTCCCACACTGGGGACACTCGTAGGGCCTCTCCCCGGTGTGGATGCGCCGGTGGGTGACGAGGGTGAAGTTGCACTTGAATCCCTTCCCACAGTCGGGGCAGCGGAAGGGCCTCTCCTCTGAGTGAATCCGATAGTGGGCGAGGAGATGAGAGCTGGTCCGAAACCTCTTCCTGCATTTATCACACTCGTAGGGCCTCTTCCCTGTGTGGATGCGCCGGTGGGTGACGAGGGTGGAGTTTTGCTTGAATCCTTTCCCACAGTCGGGGCATTGGAAGGGCCTCTCCTCTCTGTGAATCCAATAGTGCTTGAGGAGATCAGAACTGCACTGAAACGTCTTCCCACACTTGGAACACTTGTAGGGCCTCTCCCCAGTGTGACTCTTCTGGTGCCTGATCAGGTTGGAGTTCCTGCTGAAGCTCTTCCCACACTCCCCACACTCGTAGGGCTTCTCCCCAGTGTGGATCCTCTGGTGTTCGATCAGGTCGCTGTTCCACCTGCAGCTCTTCCCACACTCCCCGCACGTGTGGGGCTTCTCCCCATCACGGAGCTGCTCACGGAGCACCAGCTCCGAGCTCTGGCTCCATCTCCGGCCGCCTTCCCGGCCCAGGCCGGCTCCTTCCCGCTCACATCCCCGCCAGCTGCCTTTGCAGCCCCTCCTCGTGCGGCATCTCCGCGCCTTTTCCTCCCCGTTGCCTTCCTGCGCCGTGGAGCCGCTCAAAACGGCCTCTTCCACCAGCTCCTGCCGCGGGCATTTCTCCTCCCTGCTCTCCATGCTCAGCTCCTGCTCTGGGCGAGGAAGGACAAGGACACCATGCGATTTGCCTCCGTGCCACAGCCGAGGGCAACGAGATCCCCCCGGGGCGGCCCCGGCAGGACGGCACCGCCACCCCCCGATGTCCCCCCGAGGGGCCTTTTCCGCTCAGCCTTGGACTTCTTCATTCTCCAAACATCCCCCCAAAAACCCAACCCAGGGATCCCCCGGGATATCAGGGCCGGGCTCCCCCTCCCTGCTCACCGGCGCGATGCGGGGTCGATGATCCCACAGGTGGGGGCTGCGAATTCAGGCAGGGTCGACCGCGTGGATCCGTCCGCTCAGCCTTGATCCGCCTTTGTCCCTCCTCTTCCTCTTCCTCTTCCTCCCGCTCCTCCTCTTCCTTTCCCCCTCCCGCTCATCAGCCTTAACTCCGCCTTCTTCTCCTCTTCCATCCCGCCCCTTCCATCCCTTCTCCTCCTCCTGCTCCCTAACCCCACCTTCTTCCCCTCCTTCCATCGCTGCTCTCTCTCCGCCTTCATCCCTCCCCTTCCATCTACGGTTTCCCTGCTCCTCTGCCCAAACCGGCTCCAACCGTGAGGGGAAAGGGGGCGGGGAAAGGGCGGAACCGTGAGGGGAAAGGGGCGGGCTCAGGCCAAGGGCGGCAACTGTGAGGGGACGCTCTGGGAGGCGGCACTCTGCGAACAGAACTGCAACGGTCTGAACATGAACGGTAAGGAAAGTTGTAAGTCTCGGAATTTTATTTGCTGTCAAATACATGTTGCTCAGCCAGCCCATAAAAATCCACATCCGTGAGGTTGAGCAGCGCACGAAGCTCTGCCCGCACTCGGGGCACTCGCTGGGCTTCCCTCACTGGTGCCTTCGTTGTTATCAGGTCAAATTAGAGCACTGTGAGAAGCTCTTCCCACACTGGGGACACTCGTAGGGCCTCTCCGCTGTGAGGATGCGCTGGTGGGTGATCAGGTGGGACTTCTGCCTGAATCCCTTCCCACGCTCAGGGCATTGGAAGGGTCTCTCCTCTCTGTGAATCCAATAGTGCTTGAGGAGATGGGTGCTGGTCAGAAACCTCTTCCTGCATTTGTCACACTCGAAGGGCCTCTCCCCTGTGTGGCTCCTCTGGTGCTTGTTCAGGGCGGAGCTGTGGCTGAAGCGCTTCCCACACACAGAACACTCGAAAGGCTTTTGCCCAATATGGATCCTCTGGTGCAGGATCAGGTGAGAGCTCTTAATGAAGCTCTTCCCACTTCCCCCACACTCGTAGGGCCGTTTCCCCAGTGTGGATGCGCTGGTGGTTGACCAGGTCCGATCTCCATCTGAAGCTCTCCCCACACTCCCCACACGTGTGGGGCTTCTCCCCATCACGGAGCTGCTCACGGAGCACCAGCTCCAAGTCCCACTGTTCCCGGTGTTTGGGGTCCCAAATTCCCCCAAACTCCCCCAAGTTTTGGGGTCCCAGTGTCCATTTTTGGGGGTGCCCGTGACCGTTTTTGGGGTGCCCCGTGCCCATTTTTGTGGTCCCTCCATTCCCATTTTTTTGGGTCCCAAGTTCTCACAAATTTCGGGCTCTCTGTGCCCATTTTTGGGCTGCCTGTGTCCATTTTTGGGCTCCGTCCATTCCCGAATTTGGGGTCCCAAATTCCCCCAATTTTCGGGATCCTAGTGCCCATTTTTGGGGTGTCCCGTGCCCGTTTTTGGGGTGTCCCGTGCCCGTTTTTGGGGTGTCCCGTACCCTGCTCCAGCGCCAGCCCCAGCGTGACCCGCCCGGTTCTGCCGGTGGCTCCGAAGATCGCGATCTTCATCCCGGGTGCCGTGAACCGAACCGAACCGAACCGAACCGGACCGACCCGTACCGAACCGAACCGGACTAAATCGAACCGAACCGAACCGGACCGAAGCGAACCGGACTGAATCGAACCGAACCGGACCGAAGCGAACCGATCCGGACTGAATCGAACGGAACAGAACCGAACCGAACCGCACCGAACCGGATCGAACCAGGAACGGGATCAAGATCGGGATCCGGGATCGGGATTTGGGATCGGGACCGAGACTCGAACCGGGACCGCGATCGGGACCGGAACCGAGACTGAAACCGGGATTCGAGATCGGCACCGGGAGCTCCGCGATGGCTCCGAGGAGTTTTGGGAGGGAACTGGGAGGGACTGGGAGGGAACTGGGAGGAACTGGGCGGGAACTGGGAGGGACTGGGAGGGACTGGGAGGGACTGGGAGGGACTGGGAGGGACTGGGAGGAACTGGGAGGGACTGGTGGTTCGCTCGGTTCCGGTGCAGCCGCCCCTGTCGGGATGGTCCCGGTCCGTATTTGATCCCAGTCCATATTTGAGCCCAGGCCGTATTTCAGCCCCGTCTAAATAATCTCAGTCCATTTTATCCCAGTCTATACAAACCCAGTCAATATTAGATCCCAGTCCATAGTTTATCTAAGCCCATATTTGATCTTAGTCAATATTTGATCCCAATCCATTTGATCCCAGTCCATATTTCATCCCAGTCCATAAGATCGCAGGCCATAATTGATCCCAGTCCATATTTCATCCCAGTCCATAAGATCGCAGGCCATAATTGATCCCAGTCCATATTTCATCCCAGTCCATAAGATCCCAGGGCATATTTGATCCCAGTCCAAATGATTCCAGTCCGTATTTGATCCCAGTCCATATTTGACCCCAGTCCATTTTTTATCCCAATTCATATTTGATCCCAGACCATATTTGAGCCCAGTCCATATTTGATCCAAATCTATTTAATCCCACTCCCTAATTGATCCCACTCCATATTTGATTCCAAACCTTATTTAATCCAAGTCCACATTGGATCCCAATCTATTTGATCCCAGTCCACATTTGATCCCACTCCATATTTAATCCCAGTCCACATTTGATCCCACTCCATATTTAATCCCAGTCCCTAATTGATCTCACTCCATATTTAATCCCAGTCATTATTGCCCTGCACACATTCCAAAAGTCTGGAATTCCAGCTCCCAACCTTGAAGGCAAATGGAGCAAAATCCTACAGAGACATTTCCCTGCCAGCCCTCAGGACTGCAGCTCCTGGGACTGGGAATGAAAATATTAACCAGGAAATATAATAATAAAACATCAGGGGAGGGTCGGTGGGGATAGAGGGGTCAATGAAATCAGGCAATGGGTCAATTAAATCAGGTAAGGGGTCAATTAAGTCAGGGCAGCGTCTCTGGTGGTCCCAGGGTCAAGGGAGACACTGAGAGAGAAACAGAGAAGGCAAAGAGAGGCAGGGGAGAAAAGGGGACACGAACACAATGAGCTGAGCAGGCGGCACTGTGCAAACAGAACTGCAACGGACTGAACATGAACGGGACAGAAATCTGTAAGTCTGAGAGTTTTATTTGCTATCAAATACACCCCACACAATCCCCACCCCACCGCTCTAATTGAGATCCCACTACTGTAAATTCAGGCTGGCTGTAGAATCGAGGAAAATTCGTATGGCATGGAGTTTTTCTCAGGAGGGATTGAGCATTCTGGGGCAAGCCTGAGCTGTTTTCACTGGGATTTGAGTGGTTTTCAGGTGACAGATTCATCTCTCTTGGCTTTTGGACTGCAAAGAGATCGAGAAGAGTAAAAAATTAAGGTGAAATTAAAAGGAAAAGCAGCCAGGTGTGTTCCCAGCATGGATCACAGGGAATGTGAGTGACCAGGGCTGTGCCCAAAGTGCCTCCTCCGGTGGGGGATGGAGCTGGAGCAGCGCACAAAGCTCTGCCCGCACTCGGGGCACTCGCAGTGCTTCCCTTACCAGTGCCTCTGTTGGTGTCGGGTCAAGATAGAGCTCTGTGAGAAGCTCTTCCCACACTGGGGACACTCGTAGGGCCTCTCCCCGGTGTGGATGCGCCGGTGGGTGACGAGGTGGGAGTTGTACTTGAATCCCTTCCCACAGTCGGGGCAGCGGAAGGGCCTCTCCTCTGTGTGAATCCGATAGTGGGCGAGGAGATGAGAGCTGGTCCGACACCTCTTCCTGCATTTATCACACTCGTAGGGCCTCTCCCCTGTGTGGATGCGCCGGTGGTTGATGACGCTGGAGTTGTGCTTGAATCCTTTCCCACAGTCGGGGCATTGGAAGGGCCTCTCCTCTCTGTGAATCCAATAGTGCTTGAGGAGATCAGAACTGCACTGAAACGTCTTCCCACACTTGGAACACTTGTAGGGCCTCTCCCCAGTGTGAGTCTTCTGGTGCCTGATCAGGTTGGAGTTCCTGCTGAAGCTCTTCCCACACTCCCCACACTCGCAGGGCTTCTCCCCAGTGTGGATCCTCTGGTGTTCGATCAGGTCGCTGTTCCACCTGAAGCTCTTCCCACACTCCCCGCACGTGTGGGGCTTCTCCCCATCACGGAGCTGCTCACGGAGCACCAGCTCCGAGCTCTGGCTCCATCTCCGGCCGCCTTCCCGGCCCACGCCGCCTCTTTCCCCCTCACATCCCCGCCAGCTGCCTTTGCAGCCCCTCCTCGTGCGGCATCTCCGCGCCTTTTCCTCCCCGTTGCGTCCCTGCGCCGTGGAGCCGCTCAAAACGGCCTCTTCCACCAGCTCCTGCCGCGGGCATTTCTCCTCCCTGCTCTCCATGCTCAGCTCCTGCTCTGGGCGAGGAAGGACAAGGACACCATGCGATTTGCCTCCGTGCCACAGCCGAGGGCAACGAGATCCCCCCGGGGCGGCCCCGGCAGGACGGCACCGCCACCCCCCGATGTCCCCCCGAGGGGCCTTTTCCGCTCAGCCTTGGACTTCTTCATTCTCCAAACATCCCCCCAAAAACCCAACCCAGGGACCCCCCGGGATATCAGGGCCGGGCTCCCCCTCCCTGCTCACCGGCGCGATGCGGGGGCGATGATCCCACAGGTGGGGGCTGCGAATTCAGGCAGGGTCGACCGCGTGGATCCGTCCGCTCAGCCTTCATCCGCCTTTGTCCCTCCTCTTCCTCTTCCTCTTCCTCCCGCTCCTCCTCTTCCTTTCCCCCTCCCGCTCCTCAGCCTTAACTCCGCCTTCTTCTCCTCTTCCATCCCGCCCCTTCCATCCCTTCTCCTCCTCCTGCTCCCTAACCCCACCTTCTTCCCCTCCTTCCATCGCTGCTCTCTCTCCGCCTTCATCCCTCCCCTTCCATCTCCGGTTTCCCTGCTCCTCTGCCCAAACCGGCTCCAACCGTGAGGGGAAAGGGGGCGGGGAAAGGGCGGAACCGTGAGGGGAAAGGGGCGGGCTCAGGCCAAGGGCGGTAACTGTGAGGGGACACTCTGGGAGGCGGCACTCTGCGAACAGAACTGCAACGGTCTGAACATGAACGGTAAGGAAAGTTGTAAGTCTCGGAATTTTATTTGCTGTCAAATACATGTTGCTCAGCCAGCCCATAACAATCCACATCCCTGAGGTTGAGCAGCGCACGAAGCACTGCCCGCACTCGGGGCACTCGCTGGGCTTCCCTCACTGGTGCCTTCGTTGTTATCAGGTCAAATTAGAGCACTGTGAGAAGCTCTTCCCGCACTGGGGACACTCGTAGGGCCTCTCCGCTGTGAGCATGCGCTGGTGGGTGATCAGGTGGGACTTCTGCCTGAATCCCTTCCCACGCTCAGGGCATTGGAAGGGTCTCTCCTCTCTGTGAATCCAATAGTCCTTTAGGAGATGGGTGCTGGTCAGAAACCTCTTCCTGCATTTGTCACACTCGAAGGGCCTCTCCCCTGTGTGGCTCCTCTGGTGCTTGTTCAGGGCGGAGCTGTGGCTGAAGCGCTTCCCACACACAGAACACTCGAAAGGCTTTTGCCCAATATGGATCCTCTGGTGCAGGATCAGGTGAGAGCTCTTAATGAACCTCTTCCCACATTCCCCACACTCGTAGGGCCGTTTCCCCAGTGTGGATGCGCTGGTGGTTGACCAGGTCCGGTCTCCATCTGAAGCTCTCCCCACACTCCCCACACGTGTGGGGCTTCTCCCCATCACGGAGCTGCTCACCGAGCACCAGCTCCAAGTCCCACTGTTCCCGGTGTTTGGGGTCCCAAATTCCCCCAAACTCCCCCAAGTTTTGGGGTCCCAGTGTCCATTTTTGGGGGTGCCCGTGCCCGTTTTTGGGGTGCCCCGTGCCCATTTTTGTGGTCCCTCCATTCCCATTTTTTTGGGTCCCAAGTTCCCCCAAGTTCTCACAAATTTCGGGCTCTCTGTGCCCATTTTTGGGCTGCCTGTGTCCATTTTTGGGCTCCGTCCATTCCCGAATTTGGGGTCCCAAATTCCCCCAATTTTCGGGATCCTAGTGCCCATTTTTGGGGTGTCCCGTGCCCGTTTTTGGGGTGTCCCATGCCCGTTTTTGGGGTGTCCCGTACCCTGCTCCAGCGCCAGCCCCAACGTGACCCGCCCGGTTCTGCCGGTGGCTCCGAAGATCGCGATCTTCATCCCGGGTGCCGTGAACCGAACCGAACCGAACCGAACCGGACCGAACCGGACCGAACCGAACCGGACTAAATCGAACCGAACCGAACCGGACCGAAGCGAACCGGACTGAATCGAACCGAACCGGACCGAAGCGAACCGATCCGGACTGAATCGAACGGAACAGAACCGAACCGAACCGCACCGAACCGGATCGAACCAGGAACGGGATCAAGATCGGGATCCGGGATCGGGATTTGGGATCGGGACCGAGACTCGAACCGGGACCGCGATCGGGACCGGAACCGAGACTGAAACCGGGATTCGAGATCGGGATCGGGATCGGCACCGGGAGCTCCGCGATGGCTCCGAGGAGTTTTGGGAGGGAACTGGGAGGAA